ATTAAACAGATGTGTTCCGGTATGAGCATCTACTGCACTGAATGGATCATCAAAAAGATAAATGTCAGCATCTTGGTACAAAGCACGTGCAATCTGCACTCTTTGCTTCTGCCCGCCGCTCAAGTTGATACCCCTCTCACCTATGATTGTTTGATCACCAAACGCAAGGACTTCCAAATCTTTCTTTAAGCAACATGCTTCAATAACTCTTTCATACTTCTCTCTGTCCATCTCTTTACCAAACAATATATTTTCTTCAATTTTCCCACCCTGTATCCACGGTGACTGAGAAATATATGCCTTTGTCCCACAGATCTTAACACTTCCTGATATTCTGGGCATTTCTCCCAAAATGCAAGTTAGCAAACTTGACTTTCCTGACCCGACGGTACCACAAATGGCAACTCTCATGCCATTATGAACTCTAAGATTAATGTCCTTAAGAAGTGGTGTTGGAGTGGGGGGTTCAATCCAACTGAAATTTCCTTCAACAATCTCAATCGATACATCAGAACTGCCTCTTGGAAGCTTCTCTATAGCATTTGGTTTGAGGTCATCAAGGGAAAGAAACAATGCTATTCGATCGAGGGAAACTTTAGTCTGAACCATATTTGAAATTGTATCTGGAAGGTTGTAGATTGCCTCCTGGAGTATCCTAAATGTGGCAAGTGCAGAGAGTATCTTCCCTGATTCAAGTGGAATCCCCATAAGCATTGCAGTGACAAAGGTAGCCACAGACACAAATGTTGGAGCCATCCAAAACACAAAAGAAGACATAGATGAAGTGTAAACAAATTTTTTAAGCCATCCTGCCTCAATATTTCTGAGTTGAATGATTTTGGAATAAAATTTCATCTCCCATGCTTGAAGTTTGAGGATTCGCATGTTCCTTAAGACTTCAGACATTGCCTTCATCCTAGCATCTTTTGATTTCATAAGTTTATCCTGGAAATTCTCTTCCAATTTCCCTAGAGGAATGTTTGCCAACATTACTATAACTGTAGAAATTAAAGCCGCGACGGAAGCCAGTCCCAGATTCTTGTAGATGACGGCAAGTGCAAGCCCGACCTGTAGCAGTACCATCCAAGGGTCATGCATGTACCAACCAAAGTCACCAATCCTCTCAGCATCTACAGTCATAAAATTGATTATCTCTCCACTAGTGTGAGTCTGCTTTGAAGAGCATGAAAGAGTCAAGCCCTTATCGTAGATTTTGGCAACCAGTGTAGCCCGAGCCCTGTACCCAGCTTGCTGCACCTTGAAAAACCAATGCCTCATCGACAAGCACTCAACAATCTTTGCTACAAAGAACACAGAAACTAATAGGTAGCCTTCATTTTGTCCCCTAGATTCTAGACTTCCATTCAGAAATTTAACAAAGGTATCGATGAGGTAAGGTCCAACATATGAAGCAAGTGTATAACAGGCCGCATAGCAGGCAGATAATAGAATGTCCTTCCATGCTGTGAGAACTAAAGCTTTCACAAGCATGGATGTAGTTAATTTGTTACTGCCACGCCATTCACCAGTGGTTTCTGCTACATTATCTTGGAAGATTGGATAAGCCCCTCTGACACTATCCAAACCAGAAAGCTGAGGAACATCCTCAAGGTCTAATGTTTTCTTTTTGCCAACAGAAATTAGAGGACCCATCCAAGAAAATGTCAGTTTACTATAAAAGTTGGCCTTGGCAAAGGGAGTCACAGTTTCATCCCCAGAACTTAGTTCTTTCATTTGTGAAACATTTCTGCCCCCACCATTTAATAGGGGCTGCCTAAGAAGCTCGTTCCCACCCTCCTTTCCACCCAAAATGCAAACCAAACAGAGGAATAAGCCGAACACCGAAGAAACTACGTCAGAAATCCAAAATTGGGTAGGTAAGTTTCTGTTCTTTTTGTAATAAACAATGTCTATGGCTAGGCAATAGCAAGACAGGGACAAGAAAAAGCCCCACCAGACTCTTAAAACAATTGGGTACTCGATCATTGCACCTGAACTCAATTGAGTGAGCAATACAGAGAAGATTGCCAACCAAGTAATGGTTTTTATTGAGAAATCGAAAAGGGTTAGAATCTTTTCATCAGACCAACCATTTCTATACCAATAAAACTGAGATACAAAACAGAGAACAAAGTTCAGAAGCGAGAGACTCAAACAAGATAGAAGTGCTGTTTTCAGGTACCGGAAATTTGGTTTAGGAACACGGCCGCCCATGTCGTGATCATCCACCTGTTGTTTCTCTACATTCTCAACACGATTGTTTTTCGCCTTCTTCACTGACCAACAATGTATAAGAAGATAGAGCGACAAAACGACGTGGAGTGAAGCAGAGACGACCCGAAGAAAGACCGGGTTGATGATGAGAGGATCGCCTTCTGCGGAACTCCAAGAAAAGTGGTGAGAAAGCAGAAACCCAGACATGGCGGATTGTGATGGAGAACTCCCAGGCCTGCTTAGAGTGATCCTTTACTGGTTTGTGCTCTCTTCCAGAAAGTCATCTTTTATACTGAATTAATTATTGAAAAATTGTTTGCTTTCTTCCTCTGTGGGTCCCAGCCGTGACGCCCAAGTACAGATGATGGTCCAACTCGGATGCGGAAAACTCCGGTCAACGTTAGCTGCGCATAAGGGAAAGAGAGATTGAAGATGATTTGTGGGGCCGGGGAGGGATGCGATTTTCGTGGCCTAGTGACACTTTTGCTTAAAGTGTGAGGAAGAGAGGTTTTAATGGATTGTAATGGATTCTTGGAGCTATTTGTAACATGAAAATGGGTTGATTTGGTTGATTCTGTTTAAATTTATTAAGTTCTTGCTGAAGTGGCTGCAATGACTGATTCTACTGATTTAAGAAAAAAAATTAAATATATTTCATTTAAAATTAAGAAAAAATTATATGTAAAAATAGCTAAAATGATCATCTATAGTAACTTCAGCCAAAACAGCCAGTAAAGTAACTCTAACCTTACTTTTTCGGCTTATTACACAACTCAGCGGGCGAAAACAGAAGTTACGCGTTTGGTGAAAAACAGTGGTTCCAAACGGCCTCTAGATCGTATAGATTTTACGTATTTAAAAGGGAGAAATGGATATATAGTCTTTTAAATTAGATACATAAAATAAAGGGAGAAATGGATATATAGCCTTTTAAATTAGATACATAAAATACTAGATGTGAAAAAAAAGTCTGTTCGTGAAAAAGGCGGCCATCTAGGGTTTGTCCCTAGCAGCTTGTCCGGTGGCTTTGGCATGAGCCGGTGTTTTCGAGAGGTATCGCTCAGCAAGGGGAGTTCTCAGCCTTCAGTAAAGGTCGTTTGCTGGGAAGGAGTTCACACAGCAGTTCGCAGAGCAGGTTGAGGTCTTGTTTTGGGCGATTTTCCGGCTTCGTTAGCATCAAGATAGGGAGTGGTTTGGGCGTTGATTCGTTGTGTGTGGCAATGCAAATTCGGAAGAGCTTTTGGTTAAGGGCGGAGATGGAGGATAACCATGTGATGGGATTCATGAGGAGGGCTCAAGATTCTGTTAAGATTTAATCTCACGCACACGATGAATAATAAGAAGAACACACGAAATTTGATAACTCAGTTTGCCACGAATGACTACGTCTGGGGGCGCTACCAAGCCGGGAATGTTATTAATATTTCTGGTCAAGTGATTATAAGGGAGAGAGCTTGTATTTATAGAGAGTAAAACCTAACCCCTAAGCATAATAGGACTCGCGCGCGAAGCCCACATCTGTACGGCCCAAACTGTATAGAAACTCGCGGCTCTTCAGAAACGAACCAACTTCTCGTCGAGTTGGATCGACGAATAGTGATTGGTTATACAGTCTCTAACACCTTACAGATTCGGGATCGGAAACATTTAGGGCCGGTGGCGGTGATCCAGTACGAGCGAAAGAAGACGAAGAAATGTTGATTTGTCCCCCACCTGAAATGCCGCCATGGGGGAATTGTGCGACTAGGGTTTGGAAGGTTATCTCTGTTTTTTTTTTTTTTTGTGTTTTTACTTCGAACGTCATGTTATTTTGTTTGTCATGTACACTTATTTCTGTCAGACTCTTACATTAGGTGGGGGTGATGAGGGTGTCGCTCTGGCCATGATAGACTCATTTGGAGCCAATATAGGATCAACGAATCACATTGCTCTGTTTAGGCTGGTTGCTCTGTTTTTGCTCCGTTTACATTAGTTCTCAGGCTGGTTCGCAGATCGATGGCTGGAAATGTTCCCTTTATCTTTTATTTCCCTTGCTGAATGTTTTATTATCAATATAAGCCACTTTGTTCCAAAAAATATAGATACATAAAGTTAACAGCACCCATTTATATTTTATAAAACATATAGCACTTGTATATGGAATTTGCATATACAAGACCCGTTAATAATGGATACAGACATAGTGATGCTAAAGCAAAATATAATTTCTAAATTGATAGTAATCAATAAAAGGCTATTTATTTTATTTCGGATAATACATATCAATAAAAGGTATTTAAACTTGTGTCTATACCCAATTTTCTCTATTTAAAAAATCTTCTTTTATTTAGTTACGCACAAGTTAAGAAGGGTTGCTAGGCGCGTCCCCAATTTTGCTTTACATAACCCAACTAGACTTAATTGTCCCTTTAATTGCCCCTTTATTTTATTTTTTTATCTAATGTTTATATTAGGACCGTATAATTTGTCCTTAAAAGTATCAACAAACCCATTTGGCTGTCACTTTTTCTTTATCATCACAAACCCATTTAGCTGTCACTTTTAATAATTTTGTGTGATGACTCTCAAAATTGATCCAATTTAAATTGAAGTGCAAATGACATTTTTTATAAATGTGTCAAGAATCTTCCAAATAAAAAAATGTGTCAACAATTATTTTTTATAAAATGTTATACTATTTTAATTTGTTCTCCGATTTTGACAAAGATTGAACAAGTTTTTACAAGATAGAAATTAAAAGAAAACAATCATTGAGTAGAAAAGCTCGATTGCATCTATGCTTGTACCACATGTAGCAATGAGTGTGACACTTGTATAACATTTAGGACATGTTTACTTCAATTCTTAATAAACGGTGTTTAATAAACCCTGCGTTAGTAAGACGTTGCATAGTAAGCGGTGTTTAGTAAGCCAGCGTTTACTTCATAATGAATTCGGGCCTAATTAATCTAAAGTCCGTCTCCTTCACTGGGCTTAAAACATGGCTTACATTTAAAACCCTATGTAGCAGTTCTATCACCGGGCAGTTCAAGCCGATTATGTAGAGCAGAGCATCGACTACCATCAAACATCTTCCTCCATTTTTCTGTCTCCATCTATTAAGATACATAAAGGTAATATATTCTTCTTCACTCCGCTGCATCTATCTTCTCCATTCGAAATCTAACCCACACAATAAACGTAAATAGAGGAGATGGCAGAACTTTAATGGAGCTTCGTTGGGTTAGTCACCTTGTATCTGAGAGAGGAGGGTTTTTCTCACGTTTGAGAGAAAGTTTAGAGGAGATGGCAGAACTTTCAGTTTTCGGTGTCGTATGAAAGGAATGGATGAGGACGGCCGAGTCTGAGCTAAGGTATGGTTGTAATAAAAATTCCACAACCCTATAAAATAAGGGTACGATGGTCAATATGAAATGGCTTAAGTCGCCGACTAAATAAAACATGGGGGGAGCTGCGTTTCGTAAGCGACGTTTAACAGGTTGAATTGCTTAGTAAGCGTTCATTTACCCAGTCTAGAACGTTTACTTCAGGCTTCTTAGTAAACTAACGGTGATTTAAACAGCCAAGTAAACAGGTCCTTAATGTTCTTAATCATTAATAAAATGACCAAAATTGTTGAGCATTTTTGAAACTTTGAGTTTTTTTAATAAAAATAAATTTGAATTCTTATACTTCATTTATTCTTGTAGAACTCTGTGTTGCTATATGAATTATATTTGTTTCATTTATTTATTTATTTATTTATTTATTTATTTTCTCTATTTATTTATTTATTTATTTATTTATTTATTTATTTATTTATTTATTTATTTATTTATTTATTTATTTATTTGTCTCTTATCGTACTCCGTATTGTACAAATGAAATCACTCACGGTAGGACTAAAACATAACATTACGTAGTATTTTTTTTTTATCGAAGAGGGCTTAAATTGATATAAAAGAATTCAGCCCTAACCATTCGCTCTTGGTCGAGACTCCGAGTTAATCACCTTTGACAAAGCAATATAACTCGCTAGACCTAACTCGGGCAACTTAAAGCCAATGACGATTACCGAAAACCTCTTATCCCCCAAACCTAATGCAAGAGTCTAAAGTAAAGGAAAAAATAACCGTAAACTAGAACAGTCTGACCATTGAATGAAAAATAAAAGCAAACAAGAAGGAAAATACCAATCTTCGTCTTCCAGAGCCTAGTCGTCATCTGCATTACCGGTGGGTTTAGGAAGACTGGCCCGCCGCCTTCCCATTTTTTGTCTATCATGTGCCATATCCTCTCCAGTAGCCTCTCCTTTAGACTGACCATCCCAAATTCTTCTGCATTTTGTTTGGCCCGACACCTCCTCACCTTCCTTGCTTCCCTGGTGAGATGCACTTGCACCTGTTTCTGCCGAGTACTCTCCCCCGAGATCAGTCTTCCGCTGATGTCCAAAACCCTTGGATCTTGAGGACTCGTCCACAAACCACCTTTTCGCCCTTGTAGGGCTGGTCTTCACCCCCCCCCCCCCTCCACCTGCCCTGAGCTCCACCCCAAAGGATTTCTCCAACACAATTCCCTCTTCATACTTTAAAGGGCAAAATTTATCTGAGTGTCCGATTACCCCACACAAGAAGCAGAAATTGGGTAATTTCTCATACTTAAAATCTACCCAATGTCCCACTCTTTCCTTTGTTAAAGCAGTACCCTTTTTAAGTGATTTTCGCACATCCATACAGACCCTTATACACAGGTACGATTTCCAGTTGCCTTCAAACTGATTCTTATCAAGCCTAATGAAGGTACCTAGAAAGTTCCCAATTCTCCTGGCAGAACCCAAATTTCTAAACATATAGGGAACATTGTGAACCTGTACCCAAAGATCAGCCTCAAACAAATTTATACTTTCGTGTATATCATCCGGCTGAACAGCTTTCAGCAGAACTAAATCTCTTTCAAATATCCAAGGGTCATTCTCAAGATCGAACACGATTCATATCAAGAACATGATTAAAATTAAATAGGTACCTTTTATCCCCAATTTCTTTGATAGCCATACCTCTTCCTGGACGCCATATTGAAGCCAGCAGATCTTGGAAACCCGGGAGTTTTATTTTTCGATTTGTAACCCCCACCACCGGAAACATTGTTGGTTCATCATCCGCCTCCAGCTCCTCTGATTCATCATCATCGAAGTTGACTTCGTTGTCTTTTTCGCCAATCGCCATGTTCTTGTAGTTGTGAACAATATACTCCATTGGCTAAAATCCCTTTTGCAAATCGATTCCTACTCTTGCCTTCTCGATCGGAAAACCCGCCGCCCCAGACCACACGAAACATGCCTCTCCTCGGTGATACTTGCAGCCCGCCTCGAACCGCCCTCCAACCTTCACTTGTCAAGCCCGAATCTGCCTTTCGATCTCCTTCCTTGACGAAATCGTAGAAAGCCTCTAGCGGCGCTATGCGCTAGAGAGAAGACCACCTTTTTTTGGGAGAAAACCTAATATAAAACACAATTTCCTAAAACATAACATTATTCTTAAAGTATGATTATATGTTTGATTTTCCTTAAATAGGAATAAATATTACATATTCACCCCTAGTTTAATTAATTTATATAATTAATTGTCTCTAGTTCCCTTTCATCACCAAAGCCATTTTGTTGGTAGCGGGTCAGTCCGGTGATGACAGCGGGGAACTCCGGTGATGGAGGTGGACAGGCATATCGGTAGCGGCAATCTAGGTGAAAATTAAGACGACCAGCCGTGGCGGTCCGCATGTAAAAGTCTAGGGACTTTTTGAAAGTCAATAAACTTATCCGTGGATTTAAAAGTCCATAGAATTCTTTCATAAAAAGTCTGGATTTAAAAGTCCGTTGACTTTTTTAAAAGTCCATGGAATAAAAAAAGTCTACAACAATCCATATTCAATACCCCCCCCCCCCCCAGGTTTGGATGTTGTTGTATTTTTATTGAAGAAATTCCACTTTTAGTCCTCTGAGTTTTGCACCAATTCCACATTTAGTCCTCGTCTTTCACTTTATCCATTTTTGGTACTTGACTATTGTTTTCTTGACCATATATAGTCCTTTTCCGATAGTAAAAATGCCCGGAGTTGGACCGAAAATGGTCAAAAAACAATAGTCAGGTACCAAAAATGGATAAAGTGAAAGACGGGGACTAAATGTGGAACTGGTGCAAAACTCAAAGGACCAAAAGTGGAATTTTTTCTATTTTTATTAGATGTTTACTATTAGTTTTTCACCCGTGCGTTGCACGGGATTGTAATTTCTTAATTTTTAATTTAATATTTATATAATTGCTCTAAATTAAATTTAGAATCACTATTTGTAAAAGATAATAACACTTGTACGATAAATAATTCGATATGAGTTTCTCCGTCTTGCAAAGATGGTTTAGTCTTTCCTTTTTATCTTTCCTTCTCTAAAATTGTCTCATTACAATTTTAGAAAAGTTTATGTGATTCTAAATCATTTTTACTTTATCAATTAAGTATCAATCACAAAAACTCTTTTTTTTAATAACTCCGCCACATCTTCATATCCAAGTGTTAGTGGAACAGAGATAGTACATTTTACCATGTACTTTGAGAGCCAAACTAAAGTCTTGAGACAACTCATAAAATTATCGCGTTGACATATATGTACGTGTATTACTATGTTATGAAAAATTTCAATTATTATAATAAAACATGAGTATAACTCAATATATTTTTTCACTATTGTGGAATTCAATGAAGTGTTAAAAGTGGTTTAATGAATCAAATTCCCGTGATATATACATTCGGTACATTGGGTATTCATGCGCAAAATCCATAATTAACAAATTTAGTTGTCAAAGAAAAGAAAATTAATTAGTATTCATTAGTAATTTTGGATAATTTAGAGTTCTTCATAAACTCACTTGCATATTCAATCATAATATTAAGATACATTATTTCCAAATTTTTAAATTTATTTTTGGGGGAATTTTTGCGAATGAATAATTATAATAGTGAGGGTTTGATACAATTTTTAAACAAAAAATTGTTATTTGGTTGATTTCACCCCTTGATACTACCACTGTAGTACCACATATAAGTGACTATAGGTAAATAAAGGACCGGGTGACATAATGAGGTGCATTTACATGTTCTAAGAAATTGAGATACACATCTCCTAATAGATTTCATAGTATTAGATGTGAAAGGAGCTTGATGGATGATAATTACTATAGACAAATAGGACATTAAACCTTAGGCTCATGCAGTATAAATTTGAGATAGTATTTACTCCTTTCACAAAACAATCGTGAAGAGTATTGATTGTTTAAATGCATTTAGAGAGGCAAAAAATATTGATCGTATAAAACCTATAAATCATTCAATAAATTAAAATTAGCGAAGGCATAAAATGAATACTTAGAAGCTGTTCCGTTCGTCTTAATCTTATTACTTATTCCTTAATCTTATTTTATTCAGATCAGACCAGATCAGATCAGAAAGATTCAGATCAGATCAGATCAGATCAGAAAGATTCAGATCAGATCAGATCAGATCAGAAACATTCAGATCAGATCAGAAACATTCAGATCAGATCAACAACATTCAGATCAGATCAGAAAGATTCAGACCAGATCAGACCAGATCAGAAACATTCAGATCAGATCAGAAACATTCAGATCAGATCAGAAACATTCAGATCAGATCAGATCAGATCAAAAAATTCAAACATGATTTATCACTTTTATTATTATATTAATTATGATTATTATATTATAGTTATTGTTAATAATATTAATATATTAATATAATAATAACATTAATAACAATATAATACTTCCTCCGTCCCTAATAACTTTGCCAAGTTTGACCGGCACGGGGATTAATAAAGTAAAAACTGTGTGGTTGAGGTTTGTGCAGAGGAGAGAGAATTAACTGGAACCACAAATTCTTTACTAAAATGGGAAAGTGGCAAAGTTAATGGGACATCCAAAAAAGGAAAGTTGGCAAAGTTATAAGGGACGGAGGGAGTAATAATGTTAATAATATAAAATTATTATTATAATATAATATAATATAATATAATATAATATAATATAATATAATATAATATAATATAATATAATATAATATAATATAATATAACATAACATAACATAACATAACATAACATAACATAACATAACATAACATAACATAACATAACATAACATAACATAACATAACATAACATAACATAACATAACATAACATAACATAACATAACATAACATAACATAACATAACATAATATAATATATTTATAATTATAATTATAATTATGATTTACAATGTAATTATAATTATAATCATCATCATTATTAATATGATTGTTGTTCTTGTTGTTATTTTTGTAATTATTATTACTTCGGAGTAATTATATATTTAAATTAGTAATTATAGATATAATTATGATTATACAGATAAATATTATAATTATAATTACAAAAAAAAATAATTATAAAATTAATCATAATTAAAAATATAATTACATTTATAATTGTATCTGTATTTATAATTAGTGTAATTGGTATAATTAGTATACTTTTAAATTTAATTTTAATTATTATTTTTTTATAATTATGATTATAATTGTAATTTTATTTAAGTTATATTTTTAATTACAATTATAAATCTTATAATTATAATTATAATTACAATTATAGAAATATTCAAATCAGATCAGAAAGATTCAGATCAGAAGAATTCAGATCAGATCAGAAACATTCAGATCAGATCAGAAACATTCAAATCAGATCAGATCAGATCAGCAACATTCAGATCAGTTCAGCAACGTTCAGATCAGATCAGAAAGATTCAGATCAGATCAGATCAGATCAGATCAGATCAGAAAAATTCAGATCAGATCAGATCAGATCAGAAAAATTCAGATCAGATCAGATCAGAACTTAAAAAATTCAGATCAGAAACATTCAGATCAGGTGAACGGAACAACTTCTTAGGTGTACTTGTTCGGAATAAATTCAGCGAGTTCCAAATAGAAAAAATGGAAATGAATATTACAGAAAATACTTTGAAAACAATGTTGACCCATTTGAGCTCCGTTAATGACCCATATTTTCTGATAAGATAGATGTAAGGGAGGGAAATTATCGATTTGGCTCCAGTAGTGAACCATTTTCACAAGAAGGAAGAAGAAAATGAGGGAAAGAAAAAGTGTAATTTAAAGGATTGAGCAAAAAAGAACATGAGTGGAGAACCAATTAAATGTGTATATATAATTGAATATAAGGAATATGATTAAATTGAAAAAGAAATTGAATACAATTAAACTGAAAAGAAACTTAATATCATTAATTATTATTATTATTATTAGAGACTTAATACCATTAATTATAATTATCATTATATGGTTTATCATTATAAACTGAAAAGAAACTTAATACCATTAATTGTAATCATATGATTTATAATTAGGAGAGAGAAGCGGGAAGTTTTAGGGAGATGGATTCTCCCTTTAGGATAGGATAGGATATGATAGGATTTAACAGATTTTTCATTAAATATTATTATGGATAAAATGTGACTTAAGTCACACAAGTATATCACTATAGTCACTACAATGTAAATTTCAACATTGTCAGTATCACTAAATTAGATAAAATTTAAGTCGCTAAAGTATAAAAAGTCATGTTATTTCCATTACCTTTATTTTACTCTCTTTGTCCCCCTAAGTTTGTCCTGTTTTACCTTTTCCGTCCGTCCCACTAAGTTTGTCTCATATCATATTTGGTAATATTTGGGTTGTTAGAATGCATTCTTACTTTATTCACACTTTATCAATTCAATATCAATCACACAATTCTACTTTTTCTTAAAAACCACACCACACCCCTTTGTCCCAAACTTAGGGGGTGAGATAGTACTATTCTTTAGTCTAGTTGCTAGTTTGGTATGACTTGTTTAAATTTATCTAGATTGAAATCAGTCCAATCAAAAACATTTTTAGATGTCATTCACATGTCCAATCATCAATATAGCATATATGGCCTTAATTTATAAGAAGACATAATTGAAATTTGAAGTATACATATTAGTAGGACAAAAACTCATTTATTAGAGAGATAAATTCATAAATATACTACCAATAACGATGTTTTTAATTGAATTAAAATTTTCTGGTTTAGTTAGATCAGGTATGAATTGACCGGGTTTTGGTATGTTTAAGTTTAGTCTAGTTTAGTATGGTCTAAACTGATCTGATCAGTTACATGTGTATTATACTCCCTCCGTCCCCTTTTAAATGTCCTGTTTTACCATTGATGGATCGTCTACCCGGGGGGTATCTTATCCGAAGGGTTATTGCGGGAATAACTAGAGAGAAGTCAGAGTAAATAGGAGGAGAGAGAGTCGATTTTATTAAATGAACTCAGCGTTGTTTACAAGGAGAATAAGGGCTGCTATTTATAGCAGCAATAAATGCGATGAGGGGACACGTGTCAGTAATCCAACGGCCGAAGGGTCACATCAGCCGGTTGGCACCGGCAGTGGTACGTCCACCGCATTGAATGCGGTTGGTGGATGTGACGTGGTATTAAATGCGGTGGTTGGCTGTCTCTAAAAGGAATCTTCGATGATTGAGCTAGTTCAGCCGAGGGCTCCCGGTGTAGCCGAAGGCTCCATGTGGTGGGGACCCTTGTACGGCCGAAGGCCCCGTGTGAACGAAGGCGTAGCAAACCCGAGGGCGTAACAATGCCGAAGGCGTAACAATGCCGAAGGCTCATGTTTTCGCCTGTTTTCTCCCAGTAACTTCCTATGCCAAAAAGGCTATTCCGTAAGTTCTGGAGCCTTCGGCCAAGGAGGCCGAAGGCATCCCAGTGTGTATTCTGGGCCACTTTGAGGCTTGGGCCGTCGTATTTGGGCCTGAGTTGTTTCGGGCTAGTGTAGGAGAATAGGAGTCTATGGGCCGGGGGCTCCTGGGCCATATACTCCATCAGGAGTCCCTCACTCCTTTTGCCGAAAGGTACTTGAGGGAAAAGGAGTAAATGTGTTGATTCTTCTGGAGGCTTCATCATTTCGCTGGGTGCCTTTGCTGGAGAACTTGTCTTCTGCTGATTGTCGAAGGCTTCCCTCAGTCCCTCACATGTCGAGGGTTTTCTGAGGGAAGGTATTCATAACCTTCGCGCCTTCGGCAGGGGTTCCCCTCAGTCCCTCACATGTCGAGGGCTCCCTGAGGGTTGCTTCATTTCCGCAAGTGGCTTGTGGAAAACTTGTGATATTCCGCCGCTGCCGAAGGGTATGCTGAAGCATGTACCCGAGGGGTTGTAATGTGATGTTTGCCCGGAGGCCGTATGCGTCAATTGTAAATTGTTGCATGAAGAAATTTTTGTTGTGTATGATCCCCGAGGGGTGTATGCCGATCCCCGAGGGGTGTATGCCGATCCCCGAGGGGTGTATGCCGATCCCCGAGGGGTGTATGCCAGTCCCCCACTCCTTTAGGCCGAAGGCGAGTTCGGGCTGAAGGAGTTATGATGAGTTGATGATCCCCCGAGGGGTGATAACATTGACAAGCCGAAGGCTTATGCTGCTACGGGCTCGAAGGCGTTTGGTGGAATTAATTGTCCGTAGGGTGTGGTGGGTGATAGCCGGAGGCTATCATTCGAAGGCACCCCAGTGTTGCCGAAATATAGTCGTTGTAATATAGCCGTTGGAGGAGGGGTTGACGTGGCGTGCCCTTGTTGGTTGGGGGTGGGCGGCTGCCATTCATTGGCTGAGGCGGCGGCCCGTAATGATGGGCTTTTCAAATCGAGGCCCAATTCTCGAGGCTGAAGGCCTATAAGTACCCCAAGGCGGAGCTCAGTTTCCTTGTGCGTTTTTATGCGATAGCGAAGCTCTGCCAAAATTTCTAGAGAGAGAAAGAATTTGCTTCGATCAAACCCTATTTCTAAGGTTAGTTCCTCCTCAGTTCTTCGTTTCTTCAGTATACTTAGCTACTTCGGCCTTAGATTGAGTGTTTTTAGTTCCCCTTAATTAGTATCCTCTTCCAATCTTCCTCCTTATTCTGCGGAAAGATGTCCTCGGCAAGCGACTCCCAAAACATTTCGGAGGAAGCCCCCGCCCAATCTGAGAGCTACTCGGGCATGGAGTCGTCGAGTGAGGCTTCGTCCAACAATGATTCTGAGGTGGCGAGAGAGGTACAAAGCAAACTTCATGCTGAGGCCGAAGCCGAAGACTTTGAGCAAGTAGCGGAGGACGAGGAGATGGCCCTCGCGCTTCAGGTAGCCGAGGAAGAGGAGGAGAAGGAGAGGCAACGCGTCACGGTTGCCTTCCTGCCTTCGCGAGGCGCCGGTGAAACGAGTAGCTCCCGGCCAATTGACGCAGTGCCCCTCCGGGTGGCTTCGGGGAAGAAGGGAAAGAAGCAGAAGGCTACCCAGAAGAAGAAACAGGCTGCGGTAGATGCGGGACAGCCGGTGGGAATTCCCGAGGGACATTCCTACCTCAACACAGCCGCGCTAGATTTGAAGACGAAGGCTGTGGAGGCGGAGTATCTGAAGACTCAGCTCTTAGTGGGCCCGTCGGCACAGGTGGTGGTGCCAGGTCCTGATGACGTGCTGCTATCTCCCCCCGAAGGCTGCTTTGCTGTGCACGTCCTCTCGGTGGAGTTGGGCCTCCGCTTCCCCTTGCACCCCTTCGTCGTGCAGTACCTCCGGTTCGTAGGCCTTGCTCCCTGTCAGTTAACCCCCAACAGTCATTCATACTTGGCGGGGTTCCTCTCTCTGTGTGATTCCCGGGGGGTGGAACCTTCTCTTGACCAGTTTTTCCTGTCCTTCAACCTTTGCCGAGGGGGGGCCGCAAACAGCGAAGGCTTCGCCAACCTTCAACAGCTGCCGGCATGGAGGCTGTTTTCAGAGGTGCCCTCGTCCCACAAGGGATGGAAGGATCGGTTCTGCTACCTGAGGATGCTGGGAGTTGATTTCCCGAGGCCTCTCCGCAATCATTTCCGGAGGCACCCCAAGGTAGGCAACGCCACCCTTGAGAGTGATGGGAAAAAGCTGAAGGCGAAGCCTCCGGGTTCGGAGAAGCTGACAACAATCAAGGCCGCCACGCTCCCGGAAGAGCTGTTTAAGCTGGAATTCCGGCGGTATCGCCTGCCAGGGGAGAAAGACGAGAGATATCCTTTCCTTGACCGGGGCTCTCCGGGTGTTAGAGGTTGTTGTCGAGGGCCGTTACTGTTAGTACTTAGAGATGTAAATCCCTGATTTGCTTTTGACTAACTTTTTCCTTGATGTTCTTTTGCAGGCGATTTTATGGACCCGAAGGCATTCTCCAAGCTGTCCCGGCAACTGGCCAAGGACAAGAAGAAGAAGGAGGAGAGGCCCCCGGCACAGCCGCAGGGAGATGTCCTCTCCAAGAAGCAGGAGACCCCTGAGGGTCAAGGGCCCTCAAAGGGGGTTGTAATCGCTGGCGCCGGTTCTGATGCCGGAGGCTCCAAGGAGGGGGGGCTCAAGCGAAAAAACGCCGGGAAGGGCGTCAGGCCTCCGGAAGAAAAAAAATTGAAGGGGGACATTGAGCCGAAGGATACCCCCGTGGTGATCATTGATGACCCCCCAGCCGGCCAATCGTCTGCCACTGCTCCCCCGGAGGATCTTGTCGAGGGTGCCTGGCCCCTTGAAACAGTACACTTCCCCATCAAGAAGGGGACAGCCATCATGCATGGCACCCTCGACCCGAGGGAATTCTTGAGGGGTGCCACCCCTTCGGTGGATAGGTCCACCCTTAGCCGGTTCGGGGACGAAGCCCTCGAGCTCAAGGCCCTCCAGGCCTCGGCCACTGTAAGTATTTCGACCTTTGGAATCTTCTGTTATTGTGTTCCTTTTCCTTTGCATAACCTGATCCCAGGTGTACCCCTGTTCGCTTGCAGGCTAGCTTGGCCTTCGGGGAACTTGTCCGCAGGGCGGAACAGCACCGCCTCGAGAAGGCGAAGTCTGACGAGGTGACGAGGAAGCTCATTGCCAATAACACTGAGGCCATCAGGCAGCTTGCTATGTTGGAGGAGGCCCTTCGGCAGGCCGAGCAGAAGTTGGAGGGGGCCAAGAATGAGGCGAGGGCCGAGGGCATCGCCAAGGGGAAGGCTGAGGCAGAGAAAGCTGCCGCCGAAGCCGCCAAAGCAGCCGCCGAGGAAGCTGATAAGGCCAAAGCCGATGCCGTTGCCAAAGCTGCCGAGGATGCTGTTGCTTCTTTCGTTGCCGATGGCTGGAAGGCCGAAGAGTACCAGCAGTGGGTGGCCTCGGTGGTTGAGGCCAAAGCGGATGCCTGGGTGAAGGGCCCCGGGGCAATGTGGCTTGCTCTGAAGGGGAAGAGTTTCTATGAGGGGGGCCAGTATTTCACGCAAGCCATGCTTTACCGGAAGCTGGCTCGGCATTTTGGGGTGGACCCCAAGGACTTTGATCCCACGCCTTACGGCCTTCCCCCCCTGCTCCAAGACGTCAGGATTCCTCTTCCAGAAGGTGAAGAGAGGCAGCTTCTGGAGGACTCGGAGCTGGATAGGCTGGCCTCGGATGATGAAGGAGAAGCTGAGGATGACGCCTCCTCCAAACCGAAGGGAGATACAACAAAAGATGTTGCAGCTTGAAGTTTCGCCAAGTGTAATGTTGTAGTAGTCTGTAGTCCCCGGCCTCGGCCATACTTTGTGATGAAACATGATTTGTATTTTAAATATTTTTTTTCTTGGATGAATGAACGATCGCCTTCGGGCTTTTGTTGATTGAATGCCTCCGTTTTTGCAATTTCCTCTTTATGATCGCTTCCTTTATCCGCATGAATGTTTGGTTGAATGCCGTAAGTTTGTGGACTTAGAAATTTTTCCAAGTAACCTGGCAGTAAGCCTCCGGTTGTAATGTTGAATCTCCAGGGGCTTGTTGTTGTGGAATAATCAAATTTTCCAAGTAAACTTGATCAGAACCCTTCGGATGTAAAGTTCTAAGTAAGAACTTTTGTTGCGAGCCTCCGGTCGTAGTGTAGGACCAACCCCCTTCGGATGTTCGTAGTAGTAATGCCGAGGGATAGGATGAATTAGATTAGGGAATTCCACCAGGTGAAATTGCATCCTATGCCGCCGGAAGCCTTGGAACTGCCCGAGCCCCCGGTGTATATGATTGCCGAGGGGTCCAAGATTATGGACTCAGTGAAATTCTGAGATTTGTTGAGATCGTTTGAATGAGCTTGGTGATCCTTCATCCCTTGGCATGAACCCTCCGGTTCGTGTAGATAATAGATTTAGCTTGCCTTAGAACTTTGTGTAGCCTTCGGTATGTAACATGGTGTCTTTGATAGTAAGTCCTCTTCTTAGGCCTTCGGTGGAATTCTTGTACTCCAAAGTTTCACGCAGTGAAGCCTTCGGCTTTGTGGCCAGATGACTTGTTGTTTGCGAGATTTTCTTGTACCTTTGTAGGAGCCTTCGGGAATGTATATCCGAAGTGTTGAGCTTCCGGGGAAAATAGTATCCGGGGAGTTCCTTCCCCCCTACACATCTCTTTTTTTTTTTTTTTTTTTTTTTTTTTTTTTTTAGATGGTGTAGGAGAGGCATCTAGAAACTTGGTTCCTAGGAAAGGCTTGGCCTATACGGGAGGCAACGGAACAAACCGTTGGCTCCCCCTTCGGGAATGACCTTCCGATATCCCGAGGGGTTTGAGGGTCGTTTCCTCGGCCCGAGACATCGTCTGTTGCCTGCTTCCCCTTGGGAGATAGCACGGAAAGCGCCTCGGTTTTGAAAGTCGTCCCCTCAGCCCGAGACATGGTCTGTTGCCTGCTTCCCCTTGGGGGATAGCGCGGGGAGCGTTTCGTTTGTGGAAGTCGAATCCTGGGCCCGGGACATGGTCCGTTGCCTGCCTCCCCTTGGGGGATGGCGCGGAAAGCGTTCCTGGGAAGGGTTTTATTTGTGTGTGGGACACAAATAGCCGGGGGCACTTGGTACCAGCCGGAGCCGAGGGGTGTTGCATCCCCCGTTTTTTTTTTTTTTTTTTTTTTTTTTAGGAAAATATGTAAAAGTGATTGCGTCCTCGTGGGGTACGGCTTGGTGAGAAAACACTTGGTGTTTTCAAAGAGTGATGGGGGTGACCCATACACTTGGTACTTGGTACCTAAATTGTTGTTCCCCCTCCTGAGAGGAAGAGGCCTTGGGCCTATTTTGGTGAAGAGACGAGGGCTTGGCCACTCATCTGTATGGGAGAAGGGGGCCTTGGGCCGCTTGTATAATATGTAGGTGATGAAGGCTTGGCCTTTTGATTATTCTTCAAGTACAGATGGGGCCTTGGGCCATTGATATTTACACTTGTTGAGGATGAGGGCTTGGCCGCTCATTGATAAAACTTGACTAGGTGGTGCACATTCCAATGTCTAGGAATCTCTGTCCCATTAGGACGTTTTAATTTGTATGTCCCTGGTTTGATGATGGCCGAGATGATGTAGGGGCCCTCGAACTTGGGCGCCATCTTCCCTCCTTCGGTGGGTAGACTGGCCTCCCTTCGTCGGAGAACGTAGTCTCCCACCTGGAATTCCCGGGAGCGGACCTTGGCGTCGATGTATCCTTTGACTTGTCTCCTGTAGTTTTCGGCCCTGAGAAAAGCTTGCTCTCGGCGTTCTGAGATGAGATGAAGGTCGAGGGCCATGTTGGCTTCGTTTGCCTCGGGCTCATATTGCTCAACCCGTCGGGTGGGAAGAGTTACTTCTGTGGGAGCCTTAGCCTCAAAGCCATAGCATAGAGAGAAGGGGGTTTCGCCTGTTGCACGCCGAGGGGTGGTGCGGTAGGCCCATAAGATGTTGTGGAGCTCTTCTACCCAGCCTCCCCCTTCGGCTTCCAGCTTCTTCTTCAACCCTTCGAGGAGGGTGCGATTGGCATTTTCTACTTGTCCGTTGCCCTGAGGGTAGGCAACGGAAGAGAACGTGTGCTTGATGCCCCAAGCCTCAAGGAGGGCACAGAAGGGGGCTGCCTCGAATTGAGTCCCGTTGTCGGAGATAATTTGTTGGGGAACGCCAAACCTTGTGAGAATATTTTTGAGAACAAAGTGGCGGCACCGGGCTTCAGTGATGCTGGCGAGGGGCTCGGCTTCCACCCATTTGGTGAAGTAGTCAATGGCCACAATGATGTACCTGTTGTTGGAGGTACCCCTCGGCAGAGGGCCCACTAAATCAATCCCCCATCTGGAGAAGGGTATAGCGGTGCTGATGGGAGCATAGTTTACCGCTGGTCTGCCGGGGGCCTTCTGAAAGTGTTGGCAAGCGGCGCACCTCCGGGCTAGATCATCACAGTCTCTAGCCATCGTGGGCCAGAAGTAGCCCTGAACTATGAGCCTTCGGGACATGGAGAAGGGTCCCTGGTGAGCTGAGCAAGTGCCACTGTGCACTTCCTCCATGGCGACCTCGGCCTCATCTTGATGAAGGCACCGAAGAAGGGTGCCGTTGTAAGATCTCTTGTAAAGCCTCCCGCTTTCGATGGTGTAGCTGGGAGCCCTCAGCTTAGCTAACTTGGCGCGGGCTTCGTCCTGGGGTAGTTGCCCTGTGGTGGTGAAGGTGATGATGTCGGAGATCCAATCCTCCGGCCTTAGGTGAATATTCATAATGGGGCTTGCGTGGATACTTGAGAGGCTGAGCTCCTCGATTCTTGCAATTTTTGAGAGGTGCTCGGGGGATTCATCCGAGAGCTTGGACAGAATGTCGGCCTCAGAGTTTTGAGCCCTCGGTATTTGGGTGAGGGAGTGTGCCTCAAATACCTTGAGCAACTCCTTGGCGGCCTCCTTGTATTGTTTCATCCTCCCTTCCTTGGCTTCGTACTCCCCGGAAATTTGACCCACGACGAGTTTGGAGTCACATTTGACGTGGATCATCTTAGCCTTCAGATTCGCTGCCAGCCGAAGGCCACAGAGGAGGGCTTCGTACTCGGCTTCGTTGTTGGAGACTTTGAAGGAGAAGCGGATGGCGTAATAGGCGCGGAAGCCCTCGGGTGTGATGAGAACTACTCCCCCTCCACATGCTTTGGTGGCCGAGGAGCCATCGGTATAGAGGGTCCACCACTCATCAAGGGGTGCCGAAGGCTCCCCGTCCACCGTTGATCTCGCGGTGAATTCCGTTACGAAGTCTGCCAGGGCTTGGCCCTTAATGGCAGGCCTCGGACGGATGTCTATGTTGTATTGGCTGAGGAAGATGGCCCATTTTACCATCCGGGAGGAGCTAGTGGGACTCCTCATGAGGGCGCCGAGGGGTTGATGAGTGAGTACTTGGACCGGATGAGCTTGAAAGTAGTGGCCAAGCTTCTTGACGGTCCAAACGATGGCTAGCACCGTCTTCTCGACGGGAGAATACCTGAGTTCGGCCTCCCGGAGGGTTTTGCTGACGTAGAAGATGGCATGTTGGATGCCGTCTTCCTCTCGGATTAGCACTGAACTGATAGCCGCGGGGCTAACACCGAGATATAAGTATAAAGTCTCCCCCACCTTTGGTTTGGAGAGCACTGGGGGAGAAGAGAGGTACTTCTTGAGTTCGTCGAAGGCCTCTTGACACTCAGATGTCCATTGAAAGCCCGCCGTTTTCCTCATGATTTGGAAGAAGGGGAGGGCCCTCTCGGCTGATTTGGAGAGGAAACGGTTGAGGGCCGCCAGGCGACCCGTCAGCCGTTGAACTTCTTTGACGTTGCGTGGAGGCTCCATGTTGATGATGGCCTGAATTTTCTCGGGGTTGGCCTCAATACCCCTTCGGCTGACCATGTAGCCCAAGAACTTTCCTCCTTGTACGCCGAAGGTGCACTTCTTCGGATTTAGCCGGAGGTTAAATTTTTGCATGATGGCAAAAATCTCCCGGAGGTCGTCGGCGTGGGTTGCCTTCTTGCTTTTGACGATCATATCGTCAACATAGGCCTCCATAGTGCGCCCCAAGACAGCTTGAAAGACTCTGGCCACCATTCGGGTGTAGGTGGCGCCTGAATTCTTTAGACCGAAGGCCATCACAAGATAGCAGAAGATGCCTTCGGGTGTCATGAAGGCAGTTTTTTCAGCGTCTTCCTCATGCATGTAGATTTGATGATATCCGCGGAATGCGTCGAGGAATGACATGATCTCGCATCCCGCGGTCTCATCCACTAGTTGATCAATGTTTGGCAGAGGGAAGGGGTCCATAGGGCATGCCTTATTCAGATCCGTGTAATCCACGCACATGCGGAAAGTAGGAGGCTTTTGTGCGAGGACTACGTTTGCCAACCAAGAAGGGTATTTCACCTCCTTGATGTGTTTGATGGAGAGGAGCATGGATACCTCCTTCTTCACGAACTCCCTTCTTTCGGCCGAGAGGGGTCTTCTTCGCTGTTGCACTGGTTTGGCCGAAGGGTCCACCGCTAGGCGGTGGGTGATAACCCTTCGGTCAATTCCTGGCATGTCCTCCGGCCCCCATGCAAAAACAATGGAGTAGGCGCGGAGGGCGTCGGTGATGTCGGCCTTCAGGTCTTCGGGGAGCTTGGCTCCAATCTTCAGGACTCTCTCCGGCTTGGCCGGATTGAGTATAAAGTCTTCGGTTTCCTCGGCAGGCTCAGCCCTTGGCCTGCCTTCTTCCTCTTCCAAGGCCTTGGCGGTGATGGTGTCAACACGAAACTCAGTTTTACTAACCTTCTTGGTAAGCTGAAGGTAGCAGGCCCTGGAGAGTTTTTGGTTCCCCCTCGAGTAGCCGATGCCGGTGGGTGCGGGGAACTTGAGGCAGAGGTGCCTCATGGAGATGACGGCTTCCAAGTCCTCGAGGGCAGGCCGGCCGAGGATGATGTTGTGTGCGCAGTCGAGGTTGACGACGACGAATTCCACTTCGAGCTTGGCTCTATGGGATCCGTCGCCGAATTCAACCATGAGGGTGATGACGCCCTCGGCGTCTATGCTGTCCCCCGTAAATCCGGAGAGGGGGGTGTTGATGTGCCGAAGGGACCCCCTATCAATTCCCAATTCTCGGAAAGTGCTGAGATACATGATGTTGACAGAACTCCCCGTGTCGACGTAAGTCCGGTGGATGATGGCATCATTGATCTCAGTGCGGATGACGAGGGCATCCCTATGCGGCAGGGAACCCGAGGGGAGGTCCGCATCTGTGAAGAAAATGGGATCCGCCCTCGGCCTTTTAGTTGGGGGCATGTGATTGACTTCCCCAATGTAAAGGGACTGTGCCCACTTCTTTCGCTGGCTGGTGGAGTCTCCACCAGTATTGCCACCATTAATCATGTGGACGTGGCGCTTGTATTGTTGATGGGAGCCCTCTCCCTCGTCGTCGAGGCCACCGATTTCACGTTTCTTCCCCTGTGGGTTCCCCAAGGGGATGGTGTTGGGGTTCACCCACTTGTTTGCCTTCGGAGGAGGCCCTTGATGATGAGGGGGGCCCTGGGGAGGAGGGCCCCTGATAAACTGAGATAAGTGGCCCGCCTGTATCAGCCTCTCAATCGCGTTCTTCAGCTGATGGCAGTCGTCGGTTTTGTGCCCATGGTGGCGGTGAAAGCGGCAATAGGGCTCATCAGGGCCGATGGCATAGATCTCGAGGGGTGTACGGGAGTCTCGCTCAACGAGCCCCCGTTCCTCCGCATGGTCAAGAATGACGCTGACGGGATGCGTCAAGGGAGTACGTGGGTGCTCAAGGAGGACGGGTTGCGCCCATGCCTTCGGATTATTCTTGTAACCGCCCCCGGTTCTGGCTTGGCCACCTCGGGGGCGATCGTTGTACTGCACCTCTCGGTTGACCGGAGGGGGAGGTCCTCCGGGCCGATTCCTGCCTTCATTCTTCTGGGAAGGATCCGCGTTGCGGCGGTCCTTCTCGATCTCCTCTGCTTCGGCATATCGGTCCCCCCGCTGGAGGGCCTTTGTATAATCGCGGGGGGGATCAGTGATAAGGCTCCGAGAGAAGTTACCGTTGCGGAGGACGGTGTGGAAGAGGGCCATCAGCGTCCTGTCATCGGCGCCTTCGACCTCGAGGGAGGCCTGCCTCCAGCGTTCCAGGAAACTCCGAAGGGTTTCCTCCTTCTGTTGTCTCACGTTTAGGAGGTGGGAGAAGTGTTTCTTTGAGCGATGCCTCCCAGCAAATTGCGTAAGGAAGCGGTGGGCAAGTTCTTGCCAAGAATCAATGCTGCCTTCGGGCAATCGGTTGAACCACTCATACGCCGGTCCCTCCAAGGTGGAAAGGAACCAACGGCACAAGTATTCATCCGATGCCCCCATCATCATGCTGTTTTGATAGCGGCTATAATGCTCTTGGGGATCCGTCTTCCCCTCATACGGCTTGATGGGTTGCCCCCGATATTTGTGGGGGATTTTGGCCGCCAACACCCTTGGGGTGAAGGGTGTTCTAGTACGGAGTTGAATGAGGGGCTCGCCTGAGCCCTCGGCAAGTTTACGTTTCATTTCCTCCACCTGTGCCCGGAGGTCAGCGTACTCTGGATCTGGCCTCGCTGTGGAAGCCGTCGGGGGTGCCTGACGGTTCTCCTCGAGCTGACGGAGGAGGGCTTCAATGATTTCGTCCTTGGGATCCTTCGGAGCAACCCCTTGGGAGTTGGCCCGGAAGGACTGCGCCTGATTGATCTGGTGTCTGGCGTCATCGGCATGGAGGAGGGCTTTGCCCTTGCTTCGGGGCGGAGGTATGCCCTCGGCTCCCGAAGCGGAGGCTCCGCTCTCCTGAGGCCTGCTGAATTCCTGTTTGCCGAGGCGGTCTTGGACCCCTCGGCGTATGGGAGCTCCCCCAAGCCTCTCAAGTGCAGAGGTCCGGGGTCTCTCCTTTATCAAGGGACGTTTATCCCTGGATTGGGCCTCTTGGGAGGCGGTGTCCTGTGCCATGACCCCTTCGGCGTTTCCAATCCCCGGGGGAGGATTGGTGAACAGAGGAGGGAGCGGTGGTAATTGAATAACATTCCCTCCAGCGTAGGGCTGGAGGGGTGCCTGAGAGGCGAGGGCTCCGGAATTGAGAGCCATATTTTGAACAAAGGCCGCAAAGGCAGCCTGAAGATCGATGGCCGAGGCCGGAGGGGGAACTTGGTTCTCACTCCGATCCCTCCTTCGATTATCAAGGCCAATGCGGGCATCGGGGGTGTTCTTCTGCAGCTGCTGACGTAGGTCAGCGGTGGCTTGCTCCAATTCGAGGATGACACCACCCTCGGGTACTAAGAGCCTGTTGGAGGCCTCAGCCCCGTTAGTTTCGCCGGGGGCTACGTAGTTTTCCTCAAGGGTCTTGGATCGGGCACGGGTGGTTCTTCCCATTTTTGGTAAAGGTTTGTGTTTGGTAGAGGGGGAGGGTTTCTTACTTGATTTGTTCTGACCTCTCAACGAGAGCACCAAATGATGGATCGTCTACCCGGGGGGTATCTTATCCGAAGGGTTATTGCGGGAATAACTAGAGAGAAGTCAGAGTAAATAGGAGGAGAGAGAGTCGATTTTATTAAATGAACTCAGCGTTGTTTACAAGGAGAATAAGGGCTGCTATTTATAGCAGCAATAAATGCGATGAGGGGACACGTGTCAGTAATCCAACGGCCGAAGGGTCACATCAGCCGGTTGGCACCGGCAGTGGTACGTCCACCGCATTGAATGCGGTTGGTGGATGTGACGTGGTATTAAATGCGGTGGTTGGCTGTCTCTAAAAGGAATCTTCGATGATTGAGCTAGTTCAGCCGAGGGCTCCCGGTGTAGCCGAAGGCTCCATGTGGTGGGGACCCTTGTACGGCCGAAGGCCCCGTGTGAACGAAGGCGTAGCAAACCCGAGGGCGTAACAATGCCGAAGGCGTAACAATGCCGAAGGCTCATGTTTTCGCCCGTTTTCTCCCAGTAACTTCCTATGCCAAAAAGGCTATTCCGTAAGTTCTGGAGCCTTCGGCCAAGGAGGCCAAAGGCATCCCAGTGTGTATTCTGGGCCACTTTGAGGCTTGGGCCGTCGTATTTGGGCCTGAGTTGTTTCCTGAGTTCAATGGGCTAGTGTAGGAGAATAGGAGTCTATGGGCCGGGGGCTCCTGGGCCATATACTCCATCAGCCATATTATGATGTCCCTATTTAATTGTCCCATATATTATTTGGTAAAGTTTATGTGGCTCAAAATCATTCTTACTTTATTCTTACTTTATCAATTAATATCAACCACACAAACCCACTTTTCTTAAAACACGTGTCACCCTCTTCCGTCCCAATAATCCAATATAAAAAGGACAGAGGTAGTATGTGTTATACAACCATAAAAATTGGTCTAGTATTTTTACACGTAGTCTGGTCTGAGGTCAAATCACTCTAATTAAAAACATCTTGAATAGTGTCAATAATATTCAAATGATAATACTCCATAAAATAAAGACATTCTTCAATAAAAAGATGAATGAAAAAGTGTATGTAACCATGCAAATACCATTGAACATTGTATGCGACAAGCTTTATAAAAACAAATAAAAAAGTGAGATAAAGCCTTTGGGCCAGATGAAGTGATTATTAATTAATATGAATTACGGTAAATAAATATCTCGTTAGTGTGAAAGTGAAGAGTATTTCTACTTATTTTTAGACAATAATCTTCATATTCTTTACTCATTGTAAATAAAAATTGTAAAGAAATTATAACAGCATTATAATGTGTTACAAATAATTATATAGTAATTGTTCAATGGCAGTTAAAATCCGTAATCCGGGGATATATTAAGATTTTGAGTATATTTTAAAGATAGACGTTTTTAAAAAATGAAGTTAACAAATTCAGGAAAAATAAAAACCTAAAATTTAATTTAAAAACAAATTCACATAAAAAAAATTACAAATCAAAATAAGGAGTGGTTTTCAAAAAACAAAATTCAAAATAAGGAGTTTGGCTATGTTTAAAGAACGGGACCGGGCAGTTCGACCCGGAACCCGGCCACCCGATCAATTATCCGGTCCAGTTAACCTGTAAACTGTCAATGGTAGATGAAGAAGAGTCTCTTGAGAACAATCCCCTTTCATACCAAACACAGTGCATTGTTATAAAATTATTACAATGTGTAGCTTGAATATGTGTGTCAGATCGGTCATTCAAGGCTTAGTTTTTTAATGGGGACGTACTATATTTCATTCCTATTTCATTTCACCTGACTTTGCCGATTTAAGTGATCTAACCCTTTTCACCTTTCTTCTTCTTCTTCTTCACTTTCCCTATTTAAGCTCTCATTCTTAAACAAACCTCTTTTTCCTCTCATTTGTTGTGTCAAAACCTTTCTATTTTGAAGCTCTTCATTTGCTTTTGCAAGGAGATAATTAAATTCCTTAACATTCCATTAGCTGGCCTTTTTATTATTTATTTTTTTAAAGTTTTATGAACCATGACATCTAGTTCTTAATACGCGCGTTGCGCGATTAGGGTAATGCCAATACAATTTCCATTAGAATAAAAATGGTAACAAGACTGCATCTTATATGCTGAGATGATTGAAAGGAAATTATGTTTTAAATGTTTATTCTTGTGTGGGGAAAGAGGGGTTTCTTGTGATGGGACATAATGAGCAAGAGTTTGGACATTTTCATGGAGAATTCCGGGCAAAGGAGGAAAATGTCCTTTTCTATCATGGTTGCAGTTGACATTATGCTTCATGTTGCAAGAGGGATGGAGTACTTACATGAGTTACATTCAAGAAGCATTTTCCATGGTGAGTTGAATCCATCAAATATTCTTCTCAGACCAACAACCGACTCCGCCTCCTCGTCTTTGGAGAGTTATTACTTACATGTAAAACTAGCTGGCTTTGGTTTATCCCTTCTGAAAAGTCAGTATACTCACAAAAGCTGCCCAAGGGTAAGTTTGATCCGGTGGTTTGGTATGCACCAAAAGTTGTGGCTGAGCTAAGGAGCAGCAGCAAAGGCAACATGAAATACTCGGAAAAGTGATGTGTACAGCTTTGGCATGCTGTGTTTCCAGATTCTGACAGGGAAAGCTCCATTTGAGGATGGGTTAGGCAGTGGGGAGATAGTGCGGCCTCTTCAAGGAGATAAAATGGTACACAGTTTGATGGCTGGGGAGAGGCCACTCTTCCCAAACCCTTTCCCTAAATACCTCATGAACTTGATTAGGAAATGCTGGCAAACCAGCCCCAACGCACCCCTGGTTTTTCTTCCATTTGCAGAATTTTAAAATATATGAAGAAGGTCTTTGTTATGAATCCTGAGCATGGTCACCCTGGTTGTCCTCCTCTTGTTGATTACTGTGACATTGAAGCTGGCTACTCTAATAAGTTTGCTGCCATGGATGGCATCACAGAATCTTTTCCTTCTGTATGTGAAATACCATTTCAGATGTTTGCTTATAAGCTTGTTGAGCAGAAGAGAACTTCAAGAAATGGTGGCTTTCCGTTCACGCCTCACTGGCTGCCAGATGAAGAAGATGATCTCCATGTCATCATGCAAAATAATAGTGGAACTCGTCACAGAAGATTGGCATGCTCAGAAGTTATGGACAGGAATGATCTGAGAATCTTTTCTGATCAACAATCTGTTGCCTCAGAGATCCCACACTCAAAGAAGATGATCTCCATATCATCTTTCAGCTTATCACATTTCAATTCTATCTGATGAAACTACCTCAGCTATTGCAGATACCCCTGACTGGAGGCTATTTTCTGGGCTGCCGAATGATCATCCAAGTCTCCCTTTCATTGGGACACATTGAAGGAAAAGCCATCAGTCAATATCCACAGCAAGCAGTAATGAGACTAAGTCAGAGAGAGGAATGTCATCAAAAACCAAAAACAAAATCCAGTGGTTGGCAAATGATTTTTCTAGATCTACTGGGAAGAAGCATTCAACAACTGAAAAAACCATTCCTCATCTACTCCCGAGAATCCACAAAAAAACATCCACTTTAAGGCCAAGCAAATCGAAGCTCGCACTGAAAATGCTATATTTAAGAATAGTTTGAAAAGCAATCAAAATTACAAAATGTGGAAGCACTTGAATTTCCCATAGGTATGCCCAGCTCACTTAGAGCTTCTTTAAAGATGCATATTACTGACCTTACAACGGGACTATGAGTGTAAGCAGGTCCTCAAAAGGAAAGCAAGTTCTAAATGCATGCCCAAGCATATCTTATCCAACCAAAATTGTAATTGCATAGAAATTCTTATTCTTTTGGCCGTTTATACCATGTTTGGGTGGGAAAATAACAGTGATTGTTCTTACTATTTTACTTTGTTAGGGTTTAAGAGAAAAAAAAACAAGTTTATTTTTCTCTGATCCCCAAACTCTCCAATTTCAAGAAAATTTAAAAAATATGAAATGGCTACTTGCCTTTTCTTTTCAATCACCCTTCATTTTTTTTCCTATCTCCAAACTATCTGAATAAAGTATTAACATTCTGATGTAGTTTCTTATGTGAGAATAAGACTACTTATAGTGGGGAGGTATTAGGAGCCTAAAAAGTTAGAAGTGGAACTTTTGGAGGGCTAAAGTCAGTCTTATGCATGAAAAAATCTCCCTAGATAGTGAGGCGAAGTAGAACAACCAGTTTTAAAGGCGAGTAGTTGAGAATCATTAAGACCTAAAGTGTCTGTTTTGAATTACACACACTGCTTGGCCAAATGGCTTTAGCAGCAAAACCTAAAACACTTTTTATACAAATCAGAGTATTATCTAAACTGCTAAACATATACCAAGTCATATACCTGCATTTTTTCACACGAATGGGTTTATGGGAATATTATGTTCACATGAAGTCATCTGATAAGCTATTAGTTTCCTTTCACTACATATTTAGCTTTTAATTGTATCAAGTAGGGATTTCTTAAGAATTATCACATAAGGGAAAGTTGAAACTGTAAAAACGGTTGGTATGGATTACTACATGAATGCTCTTACAAATAAAACTACTCCAAACACAATCATGGAAAGTTCGAAGTGCAAAATTTTAAAAAGTCTATTTTCGTGGTCAATAGGATTCTTGGCGTTAGTGACTTTAAGGCCTGCATTTCTCCTCTGAATGAAACAGTAACTATTTAGGTAGAAAAAATTTATCACCGATTATTAATATTTACCCATGTAATTATGCTTATCAATGCAAATGACAACTACAATGAAAGTAGCATCGAAATGGATTAGGGAAAAGTGTCAAATAGGTCCTCGAACTTTCATAAAAAAAAGTCAAATAAGTTTACTAATACCAAATTTCAGCTAAAACTTCAATCGGGGATAACTGCGCATTTAACTGCACAATTATCTTTAAGAATTAATTTGAATGCGTTCCTTTTAGCTGAAATTTAGTATGAGTAAACTAGACTTGAAGAATAAGATGCTCAAAAAATTTCATTAAAAAAATCCACCGGAAACCGCCCCATATCATGACGGCCAGACAGAGCCTCCTATATACGGACTTATTTGACATTTTTATGAAAGTTCGAGGACCAATTTGACAGTTTTCCCTTATTGAAATAAGATTTTATTAATCAATAATGATAGAAAATGTATCAACAATGGCTTGAATGTTCCTAAAAACTGAGAGTTTTAACTTACATACGGAGTGCTTCGTAAATCGTAAGTAGTATATTGTATATAAAAAGGCATTTGCATTAGGCCTAATTTTTAGATACCGCAATTCGGATAATCTTATCATTATTTACATATATGCTGCTTAATATTCAGTGCCACTGTGCCACAACATTTCATCTTTAATGAAACAGAACACATGTATTTTCTTCACTTTATTTATTAGTGAGATATATGCATATATATAACTATTCAAAATAAATAAATAAATAAAAACTATTCAAAATCTATACTACATATGACACAATTTTCCACCGAGTACCGTACCGCACGGATGAAATACTATGCTGATATATACATACGTTCGCATGCATGGGAGATGTTGACTTTAGGAATTTGGAGCTCAAAGGATATAAGGCAAGTACTGGGTGTTAATCATCTTAGTTTCAATATTCATTTTGAAGCTCTGAAATGAATTAGTTTCTAAAAGGCTTCAAGTCTAAAAGTGTAACTGAATGAACTGGGGAAGAACTATACACTCTCTCTCAAGAACATAACCAACCTCGCTTAAAATTTAGCACAGATACAAGTTTAACTCGTGATGCAGTTAACAAACTAGTTTTGTTGTTCCCCAGTGACACCAAAAGTTAACAGAACACCTTATAGCATGCAGACTTGAGGTAAATTCTCCAAACTACAACTTGATCGTGTGCTATATTCTGCTACAAGCTTGGCAAACAATGATGATTTGAATTCAAGCAAATTCTTAGGTGTGTCATATTCCGCAATCAGACCTACAGCACACAGAAAAATGAATCAACCCACATATTACCAAGAAGATTATAAAAAAGACACACTATTAGAGTAAGACAGAACAAGAACCAACCATGATCTAATAGCAGGACCATGTTGCTGTCCAGCACAGATGTTATCCTATGTGCAATAGTTACAACGGTGGAGTGGGAAAAGTGTTCCTTGATAGTCTTTTGTATCAGATTATCTGTTACGGTGTCGACTGATGCGGTTGCCTCATCAAGAACCAAAATCTTGCTGCTTTTCTTCAGTAGCACACGGCCAAGACAAACGAGCTGCCTCTGACCCATGCTCCAATTCTCTCCATTTTCAGTAACTGAAATGTTTGTTCCACACATGTAAGAATATAATAGCAGCAACACATGTTGCACTTACGCTAAAGGGGGTCAGTTAAGGAAGAAACACACCTGCAGAATCAAGTTTTGTTTTCTTTTTTCTTACTTCATCTCCCAGTTGACACTTATCAAGAGCCTAGTAAGAAAGAGATTCACAACCTCACTTTTTCCACTAAAAATGGAAAAATCTAAAAACAATCAATAATGCGCAGCATACCTCCCAAATTTGTTCATCAGGGTACTCATCAAGTGGATCCAGATTGCTACGGATAGTGCCCTCAAACATGATAGGATCTTGTGGAATAATGCTTAACCTCGACCGCAAATCATGCAGTCCAATTGAGGATAAATTGACACCATCTATTGCTATTTCTCCAGAAGCAGGTTCAAGAATACGGAAGATGGTCTGTATTAGAGTTGATTTACCACTCCCTGTCCTACCAACTACACCAGTCTTCTTCCCTCCAAACAAAGTACATGTGATGCCTCGTAAAACAAGAGGCATGTGTGGAGCATATCGAACCTAATAGCAAGAATGCATATATGTAAAGTGAACAAGACAAAAAAAAATCAATTACTTAAACAGATTCATATAGGTAGAGATTTGAATGTACCTGAAGATTTCTGATATCAACCTCTCCAGTTGAGGGCCAACCAGGGTCTGGTCTGTTGGATTCAACGATAAGAGGAGGCTCACAAGGTATCGTGTTGTATTGAAGTATTCTCTCAACTGAAATAATTTTATTCTCCATATTGCAAAGATTCCTTATAACCCCAGCTTGCAACATGTTGAGATTAAGCCCATATGTCACAGCTAAGCCAGCAATGCCTGTAATATGTTTTATGAACAGCTCTTAATTTGAAAACAAAAAAGAAATTAATAAAAAGGCAGAATAACTCATATTTCTCACTAGCATCAATAGTTCCAACTGGAACAGAGATCAAGATGACCAGTGAAAAGGTAAAAGTGACCAAAGACAGCATATCCAAACGAAAGCAAAGCCACTCCATAGCACCGGCACTGTAAAACTTTGGGCGATTATATCCATCGATCAGCTTCATACTGAAATCACGAAATCGGGTTTCCTGCTCAAAACTTCTAATAGTAGTTGATCCTGAGAGGGTTTCAGCAAAGTGCTGTATTACTGGAGCCTTGCAAACTCCAACTAACCGTTCCAGTTCTCTTGCTGAAGGTATGTAACATTGCTGCAAATATAGAAGATGAAGGAAGGATTTAAATGAATTGGAGTTTATAGATAAGACTGAAAATGTGATATGATAACTCGATAGAGAGTGCTACCTCTAAATGGATGGACATTAAAATCACCACAATAAAAACAATGAGCACCTGCCATGCAACTTGAGACATAACACCAATGATACTAACAAGCTGAATCATAGTAAAGGCAAAAGATCCAACATGAAACGGAACATCAAGATCAACTGCGCTTTGGTCCGTGGATGCCTGTCATCATGATCATACAAAGTCACAAATTCATAAAGCAGAATTTCAAGTTTAATAATTAAGCAAGATAATGTGTTGGCACCTTGGCATTTGTACTTACTCTATTTAGAATACGCCCACATGGTGTGGCATCAAAGAAAGACATTGGGGCACGAATAATACACAAATGCATTTTATTGAATAGCTGTGTTGCCGTCTTGTACCCAGCGGTCGCAAGCAACAATGATCTACCAATGATACAAAATAAACATCCAATTGCTAAAGAAACATACACAATGATGAGTGCATGACTTCCCACCGGAGGAGTCTCCCTTTCTGATGCAGGAGTTGCCCATGCCATCCAGTAATCGCTTCCAATTTGAAGTGCCTGGAAGAGTATATGTGCCAACAATACGAAGGGCACTAGGGCGCCTCCATATGCAGTAGTGATGTATCTCCAATAAACTAGTAAACTCACACTACCTTTCTCTCTTTCTTCCTCTTGGACGAGTTGGCCTTTTGGTTCCACACCATTACCACGCACACCATTTTCCCCACCCTCGGATTCGGCATTCTGAATTTTTGTCTGCTTAATACTAACCAAGCTACTATTTTCTGTACCCAATACTGCCTTACTTCCCTCATAGACATCTATGGAAGATAAAGCTTCATTGTGGGCACTCACTAGTTCCATAAACTCACTACCCATATTGAGGATGTCATTGTACTTTCCAGCCTGTGTAATTTTTCCATCTTTCATAACCTGATGAGTTGTATATTAATCCCAACAAACTATGCAATGTTATACAAAAAACAAGATACCAGATAGAGAAGTAGAATTAAAAGAAAGAAAATTAGACTAGAATCAAATCAAATAAAATCAAATAAAAAGAAATACAAGAAGATGCTTGCCAAGATCAAATCCGCAGCAGGCAAGAACTCTACTTGATGTGTAACATATACTACAGTCTTTGACTTCAGCAGCCTCATTATGCACTCCTGTTGAACATACAGTAGAGAATAGTTGTTTCACAATGAGTTGAAACATGATGATATGGACATCGTTATATATATAACTATGAAATCATCTATCAAAAACCCGTTCCCGCTTGATCTATTTGTATATATCACGTAATATTGTAGTGAAGTATATCAGTATAACCACTGCGCTGCTAAACTTTATTAATACATGTGTCCTGATAATAATGAAATGAGAAGGAATAACTGCTTTTAAAATTAAAATAAAATTGAAAAATCATTCTGTAGAACCCACGATGCATATAAGATATGACTGATCACAAGCAGTTCCTCAAAGTTCCATTTATAGTTTGGCAGAGTGCATGCCACATATATATACAAAACTACAAAAAATGATTGGACTTTAAAACGCCTTCAACAAACAAATACAGTCTTCAATATGGCAGTTAAAATGTTTAATCATTTGCACGCACTCCTCGGTCACAATCTATACTTCTAAGTCAAGCCCAGCTATGGAGGCATTTCAGTTTATGACTTCTAATAGTACGTTTTTTTTAAGCCTTGAATAGATGTTTAAAAAATGAGATGGATGGTGAGAAGGTGAGATGAACGCATTGAAAATCCATTGAGCCTTAAGGTTGATGTTGATGTTGATGTTGGTCTAGCATACATGAAAAGATGTCAACAACATTCTAGAATTGATTTTCTATGACACAAACGTATCTTATGGTAAGCACTTTTAAAACTTATGTTAAGCAGTTTTCTATAACACTACCTAACCTACCTTTGAGCACTCAATAATAATATAATAACAGCGGCACAGAGCTTACACTGATTCACAGTAGATTTCGTTGAAAGCAGGAGATTTCATTGTTTCATGTGACACATTACATAGAAGACACACAAATAAGTTTAAGAGCTGACACAATCTTCTAATTAATGGCTCATGCTAGATAAAATATGCTTATATAGTTATATTACAGCCTCAACTACAGTATAATCCATTGTTTCCTGATTTCTTAGCATATAAAGTATATAATCTAACAAATTTATCATAACTAAATACATAAGAAGTATTTTTCAATCTAAGCAAGTTTATAAATAAATCACGAAATCCTAGCCTTAGTGTATAGTCTTACCCAAAAAAATAAAAAATAAAAATAATAAAGTCTTACCCATAAGAAGTAATTAATCTGCCTGTTTTTCCAACAGCTTAGCATTCATATTGTTAGAGTAATGTTCTATGGTTTGACCTCTAATTAAATGTAATGCGGGCATACGGGGTATAAATTTTGAACCCACAGACACATTGAGGAAACAAAGCTCTACATGAAAAATTCTTCCACGCAAGAAAAACAATTGTAAATATGTTTTAAATATTGAGATTGTTATACATGAGAAAAACATCCCTATAGTACAGCCAATTAAACTCTTCGGGTAAGTAAGAAATAAGAAAGTATAATTAAATATCTTTTCATAAAATGTATACATATTTAATTTCATGGATCTTCCTTTAACGTAAATATATCTATATTACCATCTCTTTAAGACCTAATGCATATATAATACGTAGTATGAAAAAGTTATATTCCGTGCATTGCACGGGTAGAATACTAGTTCTAGTTTAAGAAATGAAATTGATTACATATATATAAATGAGCATCAGGTGCTTACATTGAACAGATGAGTTCCAGTATGAGCATCCACGGCACTGAATGGATCATCAAAAAGATAAATGTCAGCATCTTGGTACAAAGCACGTGCAATCTGCACTCTTTGCTTCTGCCCACCACTCAAGTTGATACCCCTCTCACCTATGACAGTTTGATCACCAAAGGAAAGAACTTCCAAATCTTTTTTTAAGCAACATGCCTCAACAACTCTTTCATACTTTTCTCTCTACATCTTCTTACCAAACAGTATATTTTCTTCAATGTTTCCACTCTGTATCCACGGTGACTGAGATACATAGGCCTTTGTCCCGCATATCTTAACACTTCCTGATAATTTGGGCATTTCTCCCAAAATGCAAGTTAACAAACTTGACTTTCCTGAACCGACAGTACCACAAACAGCAACTCTCATGCCATTATGAACCCGAAGATTAATGTTCATAAGAAATGAAGTCGGAAAGCGGGATTCACTCCAGCTGAAATTTCCTTCAACAATCTCAATTGATATATCAGAACTACCTCTTGGGAGCTTCTCTGTGGCATCTCTTTTGAGGTCATCAAGTGAAAGAAACGATGCGATTCGATCAAGGGAAACTTTAGTCTGAACAATATTTGAAATTGCATCTGGAAGAACATATATTGCCTCCTGTAGTATCCTAAATGTGGCAAGTGCAGAGAGTACCCTTCCTGATTCAAGTGGAATCTCCATAAGCATTGCAACCACAAAGGTAGCTACAGACACAAGCGTTGGAGCTATCCAAAAGACAAATGTAGACACAGATGAACTGTAAACATATCTTTTCAGCCATCCAGACTCAATATTTCTGAGGTCCAAGATTTTGGACAAAAATTTCATCTCCCATGCTTGAAGTTTGAGGATTCTCATGTTTCTTAATAGTTCGGACATTGCCTTCATTCTAGAATCCTTGGCTTTCATAAGTTCGTCTTGGAATTTTTCTTGCAATTTCCCCAGGGGGATGTTTGCAAACATCACTAATACAGTGGCAATTAAAGCTGCGATGGAAGCAAGCCCGAGATTCTTGTAGAGGATCGCAAGTGCAAGACCGACCTGTATGAGCACTATCCACGGGTCATGCATGTACGAACCAAAGTTACCAACCCTCTCAGCATCTACAGTCATAAAATTGGTTATCTCTCCACTAGTGTGTGTCTGCTTTGAATGACATGAAAGGGTCAAGGCTTTATCATAGATTTTGGCAACCAGTGCGGCATGTGCCCTATAGCCGGCCTGCTGCACCTTAAACAGAAAATGCCTGAGCGATAAGCACTCGACAATCTTTGCAACTAGGAATACAGAAACCAAAAAGAGACCATTTTTTCCCTTGGACTCTCGATTTCCATTGAGAAACCGAACGAATGTGTCAATGAGGTAAGGTCCAACATATGAAGCCAGTGTGTGACAAACTCCATAGCAGGCAGACAAGAGAATATCCTTCCATGTTGTGAGAAGTAAAGCTTTAACAAGCATCAATGTAGTTAATTTATTACTGTTATTCCCATCACGAACAGTTTCTACGACCCTATCTTGGAAGATTGGATAAACCCCTCTAACGCTATCCAAACCAGAAAGCTGAGGAACATCTTTAAGGTCCAATATTTTCTTTTTGCCAATAGAAATTAGAGGACCCATCCAAGAGAAGGTTAGTTTGCTAAAAAAATTGGCTTCGGCAAAGGGAGAAACATTTTTACCCCTACCATTTAACAGGGGTTGCCTAAGAAGCTCATCTCCGCCTTCAATTCCACCGAAAAAACACACCAAACAGAAGAATAAACCCAACACCGATGATACTACGTCAGAAATCCAAAACTGGGCCGGTAAAGTTCCAGTCTTTTTACAATAAAGAATGTCTACGGCTAGGCAATAACAAGAGAAGGTGAAGAAAAAGCCCCACCAGACTCTTAAAAAAACAGGGCACTCAATAATCTCACCTGAACTCAATTGAGTGAACAAGAAAAAGAAGATTGCAAACCAAGAAACAGTTTTTGTTGAGGCATCCAGCAGGGTTATAATTTTTTCATCAGACCAACCATTTGTATACCAATAAAACTGACAAAGGAAAGCGAGAACAAAATTCAAAAGCGAGAGACCCAAACAACAGAAAACGGCTATTTTCAAGTACCCGGAATTCTGTTTTCTCACAAGGTCGGCAGTGTTATCGTCTTCATTCCACTGTATTTTCTGTCTACTAATAGCAGTGTCTTGTTTCACCTTCTTTAACAACCAATATATAAAAAGAAAGAGCAACAAACCAGCATGCAGTGAAGCAGAGACGGCGTGAAGGAACCCAGGGTTGATGATGAGAGGGCCGCCTCCTAAGGAACTCAAACTAAAGTGGTGAGAAAACAGGAACCCAAACACGGCGGATTGAGATTGTGCAACTTCCATGGCGGCTTTAGGGAGATCCTTTAGGTTTGAATGTTTAAAGACGCTGGCTGATAGTAGTGAATTAGTGTGTGTTTTCTCTTCTGGAGTAAGGCAGGGGTTTAGTTCGCTATGGAGTGGCGTGGGCCCAGCTGGGAATTCAGAGACTCCCACACATGATCAACGTCCGCTATTCGTAATGGAAGGAGGAATGGCAATCTGGTCTGGGCGGAATGACGCGCGCATCTGTCAAAGGCAGGTATGAATCGTTCCCGCTTAAATACCTGCCAAAAGAAGCACTTGGTGGATCTTTGGGGAAAGAACACTTTTTAAGGTGTTTTTCTTTTTTTCTTCCAAAAACTATGTTAATTACCCTTTTAAACAACTACTTTAGTGTTTCTATGCTTTACAAACTTGAAACTTTTTTTTAGGAATGGAAACTCACCTCTATTCATATCCTTGGTTTTAGGATCGTTACATCAACCAAAGGAAAATCAAATATGACACCAACTAACCTCCCAAAACTAAAACTATAAACCATACGATGAGTCTTAGAAACGGTCAACTCTAAAAGAGCAACATGAATCGCTAACCATGTAGCGGGCTTGACACAGCTGTCCCTGGTTCTATAGATCCATATACTCACAATGACATAAAAACAGACAAAGCTTCTAAACAAAATGACAACCCTAAGAACATAGACGTTAACAAGAATCCAAATGCAGAAAAACAACAACTAAAAGCATAACTTTCACGGACCCTGGCATTTCGTTCAGCCATGGCGGTGGTTCGAGAGGAGTCCGTACCATCAGTACCACTCTAATTGAATCTCCATTGTTGATTGAAATCTGACCTACGCGAATCCCGACCAACTTTCGCCCCACACTCGTACCAACACAGTTACTAGCTGTTATCTTGTTCAGTGCCAAGCCCTGTGTTAGGCCCCTCAGACTTTGATGAAATATAGTTTTGATGATGCAATCCTCCCTTGATGTTTAGATTTTCTATTCAATATTGAATGATCATTGTGTGAACTGAAGTATGGTCCAAAAAGGAAGGTGACAAAATTAGGAATGTATAAATTGTGTCACAAAATAAATATACTGGAAATATAAAATGCAATAAGGTAAATCCTTACCTTTCAAGGATATTCAAATCCAATCAGTATATTTATTTGTGTTACAATTTTATTATTGTCACTAGTAAAATTGTGACTAATCTTACATGTACATCTTATGTACAAAATTAATTATACTGGAAATATAAAATGCAATAAGGTAAATCCTTCTTTACCTTAAAAAGGATATTTAAAATCCTACCAGTACAAATTAATTTTGTACACAAGGACCAAAGTCACAAATTTACTTGGTAAAATCACGAGACACTCCAGAGTTGCCTATGAAGACAAAACCCCACTAGATGGTGAATAGTAGACCTAAGGAATGGGTTTACATTTCCTGCGAAGCAAGTTGATCCAATTGCGTCTGAAGATAAGCTGCTCCAACACAAGAAGACGAAAGTACAAGAAGCCTCAACGACATAGATTAAAACCTCTCAACCAACGGAGGAGATTAATCAACCAGAGATGCCTATAAATTCAGGCATAAGCATGAGAAGAAAAATAAGCTCCTGAGTTCACTAAGCAGAGAAATCATACTACACAAAGAAGATATCCAGCAAAAGAGAAAGTGTTCATTAAATTCTGCTCTCTGCTTAGACTCATGCTTCACTAAACCTTCTAGAACAAAAATCCTCATTGATACACTCAGAAAGTTTAGTTTTTAGTTGGAGGCTAGAAATTTGTTTCATATTGAAACTGTTGTAAACACTTATAAGGATAGCGTCGTCTAAGTCCTTAAGTGTGGTAGAATAGGATAGAGTACCTTTTGATCCCCACTGGATCAATTGAGAAAAACCTAAAGGATTGAGTAGCTAGGAGTGGTGTGTACTCTTAGTGAAACACCTTGAAGTCTGAGCAGGTTGGTGATAACAGCCAGACGGTCACTAATTGTATTGGGCTGAATACTTTAGTGGAAATCCATCTGAAAGAGGATGGGACTGGATGTAAGAGGATTACACCACCTCTGAACCAGGATACATCTTGTGTCAATCTATTTTCTCTGACTCAAAGACATCAGAGGACCTCACTGAAGGATCTCTGATCCAAGATCATCAGAGGACCTCACTTAAGGGTCTCTGATTCAAAGACATCAGAGGACCTCACTGAAGGATCTCTGATCCAAGATCATCAGAGGACCTCACTTAAGGGTCTCTGATTCAAAGACATCAGAGGACCTCACTGAAGGATCTCTGATCCAAGATCATCAGAGGACCTCACTCAAGGATCTCTGATCCAAGATCATCAGAGGACCTCACTCAAGGATCTCTGATCCAAGATCATCAGAGGACCTCACTTAAAGGTCTCTGATCCAAAATCATCAGAGGACCTCACTAAAGAGTCAAAACCAAATCATCAGAGGATCTCACTGAAAGATCTTCAAATTAGAGCTTCAACTTCACTAGACATTTCCGTCTCCCAAGATAAGTTGTCTAAAACACTTCTTCCTTCACATCTTCTCTTAAGAAAGTTACCATTCACAGTTTGATAGAGATTATGACTTCCGCTGCGATCCTAAATCTCCCAACAGATTTCTGATCATCATACATATGAGAGAAACTTTTTAAAAGTTCAAAAAAAGCTTTGAAAGTCTATTCACCCCCCCCCCCCCCTCTAGACTTTCACCTCTATCAGGGACCATCACCCTGAGATGCACTCATCTGCCTTACTGCTCTGCAAATAGGCACCCATTCGGCACCCACATATCTGAAAGAAGGTGGACACCTGCAAAAAACAAGAACAAAACGAGACAGAAGCTTATTTCGATTTGTTGCTCTGCCTTATTGTCGTAGCCGCGCCTAATAGTACTGCCGCATGGAAGAAATTATAATAGAATCGAGATTAATCCAAGCTCTATTGATCAACAAGCCTCTACCCAACGAAATCTTCCACTAACCGAGCAACAGGGCTTGCGCCGCTGGCCGGAAAATCTTACCCTAGGAGCGACCGCGTATTATTCTTGTAATTTATACAGAAAGATTTATTATGAAATGCAAATCAAACTTGAAAAAGTAATAAAAGATAGAAGAAGCACGTAGTTCTCTCTTCTTAATGAGAGTACTTTATTGTTGCACTACATTGGTAATTATGTTTTTCAGTTTATCAGGCTTATCAACCAACTTTTTCACTAAACACGCAATTTTTTTTGCGCGCTGAATTGTGTAATGATAAGAAAAAGTAAGGTTGAAGTTACTTTTCTGGTGTATTGGCTGATGTTACTTTTACTTTTATGAGAAAAGTAAATTTAAAATATTTTTATCAATAAAATAAAGTAAGGTTGAAGTTACTTTTCTTTATTTTATTAATAAAAATATTTTAAATTTAATTTTCTCATAAATCGACAGAATCGACCAATGCAGTCACTTCAGCCATAACTTCATAAATTCTAGTAGAATCGTCCGCCGATTCATGTTACTAAACGGGCTCTATAAGGTTTGTTTGTAAAATCATATACGGAGCAGGAGTATTATAAGTTATAAAATTATTTTCGATCTCATAAATACATATATGCATTCATACTCTCCATCGTCATCATCTTTATATTGTTTTTTCCTTCACTATTTTTTTGTATAATTTTATTCCTTAATTTCTTATTTTAAAAAAAAAAATCAGAAATGTGCTTTAAATTATGGAATAAAAACTTAAGATCGTGTTTGTCTGAAAATGTATTAAATTGCAAATGATACCAATAGTGTAAATTGCAACGTTCACATATATTATGATTTTAAATTTCTTAGTTACTATTTATCATCTAATAATAAAATATAATAAATTATTATAAATCTTGTAAGCCCCAATGATGGTTAGGGCATTTTAGGTATATAA